TGGGTATGATTTAAATACTGATCAAAAATCATACTGTTTCCAAGTGGGAAACAAGGCCCATGGAGTCGACTGTGTCCAAGTAAATTCTCTTCCCTGGAGAAGGGCCGAGTGGGATTGATCTTGAGACTTAGATATCTCTGGGGTCCAGTGAGAAAGTAGGAAGAGCACCAAACAAGCCGGACTCCAGTATTAGTTTAGCTGTTTGTCTTTGAGCAAGTTGATGACTTCTCTGTGCCTGTGTTTTTCAAAATGGAAGGAGTAACGGTTACCCCGACCAGCTAACTGATGCTGCGGTGAAAGCAGGTGGTAGCTATGAAGTAGGGACTGTATCACTATTGGCTAACACACCTTGAGTACCTACTACACAGCAGACACAACACTGAGCAGTCTGCACACGTGAAGTCATTTAATTCTCAGAGCCGACAAATGCAGAAACCATTATGTTATTATCCCCTTACACAGAAGAGAAAACCAAGACTTGATTGGAGAGGGCGAGTAACTTCCTAGAAGTTACTATCACTTGGTTACTAAATGCTGGGGCCAGAACTCAAAGTCAGGTGCCTGCGGCCACAGAGCCTTAGTTCTTAACCTATGTCCGGCCGCACAGGGTTAATCTGAATAGTCTGAATTAGGCAGGGGTGGACAGGCGGCAGCCAACACTGCCTGAGTGCACCATGCTGCTTAGCAACGGGACAAAACAAGTGGCCCTCCAGAAGGAAGGGAAGTGAGCCTCCGGGGTGGGTGGAGGAAGGACGGCCGGCGGGGGAGGGGTTGGGTCCTGCCAAACCAGGGAGGGTGTGAGCGGTGAAGGGCACTGTGGGCAATGACCCCTGCAAGCAGAGGCTCTCGTGGGGAGAACATGCCCACTGCCCACTCTCTGCGAGCCAGAAAGCCTCTGCCAGGCTTTCTGACATCCAGACTCTGCATCTCTTTGGTGCTTTCTCCTTGGCCCTCTGGATGGTGTAGGTGATACTGGGATTTTCAAAGTTTAAACTTGAACGCTCTTCACGTAACTAATCTGAATGCATTCTCCTTATTATTTGTAACTGGGCATGATAGCTTATGAGGTGCCAGGGCCAACAAGGAAGACAGGGAATGGAAATCCCTGGTCATCTAAGTCCAACCTTAACCCTGGCATATGGGCCACCTGTAGATGGTGAGCAGAGGAGGTGCCAGCCCTCCAAGGGCCTGGACTGTGGAAGCCTGGCTGGCGGGTGGGCCAGGGAGCGAGCGCCACTCTCCAAAGCCAGCATCTACCAAGAACCTTAGAGGAGAAAATTTCAGATGAATAAGAAAGCCCCAAAGAAGCCCCACACATCCAGGAAAGAAATGGGGCATTTCACACTTCCCTTGAAACGGGTAAGGGGGTACAATGGATACTCCTTCTTAAGTGTGAGTTATTTCTGTTCTTTATACAATTAGAGAGGCACAGAAAAGCTGCACCTCAAATATCGCCATGAAAACTGTATCATATCTCCAAGGAATTATTTTTCATTTTGTTAAGGGTGATAAAGGTACTGTGGTTATGTTTTGTTTCCTTTTCTTTTTTTAAAAAAGAAAGCATTTTGCAGTAGGAGAAGACGATGTGATGTCTGGGATATGCTTTAAAATAATTCAACAAAGAATAAAAAGAAAAAGGAAATGTTGCAGATCATTAATAACTGAACTGTTCATTGGAGTGATGCAACTTTGAGGCTTGTACTATCCCTACTACTTTTATGTGTGTTTGAAATTTTGCATGAAAAAGAAAATGAGCTT